AGATGAGGCTACTCACATGTCTATTGTCACTATTTATGATGAGTGTGGTATATCTATAACAATGATCATGGTTAAAGATAATTATGATACTTATTGTGGCATTGAAGATTTACTTGGTACTGATAATGAATATATATTTGACTACAATGATTGCCATGTTATTGAATGTGAGTTTGGAGAGGTCATGCCTTTAGGTAGTAATGTTCCCATTATTTTGGCAAATGTTCAATCTAATTGTGATACTAATAGAAGTGTGTTCAGAGGTCATGACTTTAGTCACTAATAATTCCACTATTTTGGAGAGCGATAAAATATATGTGCATGTGGATCATGAGGAAACTTTCCTAGGTGATAGCCATATTATTGAGTTTGATCATGATCCCACGTGTAATTATTACGAGAGAGGAAAATATGATTATAGAAATCTTCATGTTACTGAATCACCTCTCTTTATGTTGAAAGTTTTGAAGTTGCATTCTTCTGTGTTGCCTATGCTAGGGATCTTTTGTCTCGATGAATTGTTTACTTATAAGATGCATATGGATAGAAAGTGGGCCAGGCTTAAATGTATTTGATATAGGCTATCTTATACTCTATTTTATGCTTCAATTCATGTTTTCATGTGAGCATCATTAAAATTGCAATCCTAGCTAACAAGACTATAAAGAAAGCGCTTACGTGAGGCAACCTATAGTAATTGTCAATAAAGTTTTACCTTTTGTAAAAACATTCTTTTTATGTTTTGCTTGAATAAAGGCCCATGATTTCCTTTACCATGTTAAGATTACAAATGTATGTGTTGTTATGCTGAAACAAAAAGTTTTGTTGTTGTTGTTGCTGTTGTTTATTTTGTAGAGAATTGATAAAACATGATAAAGGCAGAAAAAACACAATACACCTATATGAATTATATGCTACTATTTTATTTTAGAATGTAATTATTTACAAAAGAGTGGATTGAACTTTTCATATTTGCATACTACTCTTGTTCGCTCTGCTTAGACATATTGTCGTTATGATTGTCTTTATTTACTTATGTTTGCATTTTATTCTTCCCATAGGGATGTGGGAATTTTAAAATTGTGTTATCATACAGTAGTTAATGATGGGTTACAACTTTATAATTAGTCTATAGCGAGGCACGGTTAGATTGAAGTGTTCTTTATACTAACATATCCCATGAGTTATATGTAAGTTTTGTGTGGTTGAAATATTTATGAGTTGGGTGAGATAGTAATATGAGAGAAATCAGGAGATGCAAGCGCTCAAGCTTGGGGGTGCCCAGGGCACCCCAAGAAATATTTTAAGAGATCCCAAGCTTCTAAGCTTGGGGATGCCCAAGGTATCCCCCTTCTTCAACAACTATCGGTTTGTCTTGGTTGGACCCATGTTTTTATTCTTTCACATGTTATGTGTTGTTCTTTGAGCATATGCTTATTTTTATTATTGATCATTATAATCATCACACCTAAGGAACATTATATGGGAGAGCTTATGCAGTATCATGATAATTAGTCTAAATAGAAATACTTTAAACTCTTTATGCTTCACTTATATTTTTTTTAGAGAGTTGGATAGAAATTGGTAGTTGGCATGACCTTAATATGTTGGCACTAAAATTGATAGGTATGTATAGGTGGTATAATCAAAAACTTTGGAGGAGTGCACACTTCCGTGAGTAGTAATGGCAGTGTGGTGTGTGATGCTCATTGTGTTTGAGCAATATGAATGACCTTTGCTTTTTCATGAGCTTTGCATTCGCATGATGTTTGATCATAGGATATATTATGTGGGGTGATGGCAAAGTATTTGGGATAATGGACACATATTTTGGTTCATTTATAACATAAATTTTATGTGATTTTGAATTTGAACATTTAAAATTATGAATTTGAAATGTTGTTGAATAATATGTGGTGGAAACATAGAAAGGGAATTGTTATGATATAAAATTAGTGTTTAAATGGGGTTCATATTTGCAAAGATAAACATATATTGGAAAGGGTGAGACTTTGGATTATATGATTCTGCAAAAGCCAAAAAGTGAGATAAAAGACCATCTAAAACTACTCATTCAGTTAGGGGGATTTTTTAAGTATTCCAATGCAGCTTTAACGAATAAGATATTTGTTTCTATGTATTTGTGTAGATGCTAGATTCCTTAGGATTGTGTCTGTTTTGACATAATTCCTTGGGATTCTAAGTATTAGGTGATTCTTTGTAGAAAACTCCTAATGATTAGAGCGGTTAGTGCATCCTACTCCCTCTGTTTAAAAATGTTTGAAGTTCTAGGTTTGTCCTAAGTCAGACTTCTTTAAGTTTGACCAAATTTATAGGAAAATATAAAATTATCTACAATACCAAATTAGCTTCATTGGATTTATCATAAGATATATTTTTCATACTATGTATATTTGATGTCCGCGGACAGGGGATAGGGGCAGCCCGTCCAACTCTATGTACCCAATGCCTGACACTTTTTTCCTATATTTGGACCACTTCATCCTTCACCCATAATCATGCTGTGCAAATATTCCAATGCTACAGTAATTCAGATATAAATATTACAATCCAAACATCAATTTTCAATAGAATGGTTCAAATTTGAATTCAATTTATTCGGACACATTTTTAGTTCTCCCCTCGAAGCGCCCACAAATGCTCGATCAGATCATTTCGAAGTTGCTCAATGGCAAATCTATTGATGCATTTGGATAAAATCCTCAAGCATCGTTGGGTTATGCTTTAAAAGTTGGATAGGATCACTCATGGGCTCAAATTCTATAATGCGGCGAACTTCGTCATCATCATCCTCCACAACCATGTTGTGCATGATCACACAATCTGTCATCATCTCCCACAACGTTCCTGGATCCAATATCTTTGCAGGTCCTCGGACAACTGCAAAACAAGCTTGGGGCACTCCAAATGCCCTCTCAACATCCTTTCCAGCTCCTTATTGTCTTTGCGAAAAGTTAGATCTGTTCTCACCCCTTGGATTAGAGATGGTCTTGACGAAGGTTGCACGCGAAGGATAAATACCATCACAAAGATAATAGCCCATGTTGTAGTCATGACCATTGATGGTATAGTTGCACAGAGGAGCTTCTCCCACACACACAACCTTGCAAACAATGGAGACCACTGCAACACATTGATGTCATTGCGAGACCCGGGCATTCCAAATAAAGAGTGTCAAATCCAGATGTCTTCTAATGCAACTACTTCAAGAATGATGTGTACTTCTTGCAATGGCCCTGATATTGCCCTTCTAGAGCATAGGGTGATTCTTCCATTGTCCGTGCATGCAATCCAGGGATCCGAGCATACCTGACCATCTTCCTGCTTTTGACGGTCCCAAAAGTCATGCGGTGTCTTTGGTAGTTGGTTCTCTGAAGTACTCCGGTCCAAACACCTTGAATACCGCAGTACAAAACCTGGCCATGGCTTCGAGACATGTGGTTCAGACATTTAGAGGTACTCGTCCCGCAAATCTGTGATGCCACCGGCAAGCATCCTCAACGCATATGTGCACTATTAGTAACCAGAGAATCCATTGTTCCCAATGACATCCTTCTTCAAGATGAAGTAGTCATCATATGCACGGACATCATTGTAGAGGCAGTCAAACACAGTTCAACTCATCGGAAATCGATGACGGAAAAAGGACTCGAATAGCTCATCGGGGACCAAACAGTCGTCCACCAGCATCATATCCCCTCGTGCCCTATGCCGATTCAACACGCGATGTCCCTTGACCGATCCTTTGAAATTGGGGACATGTTCCACCGCACGTTCCACGTCTTCAATTACCGCTTGCATCATCCTCAAATTCGTCCTCATCTGACGAGGACGAATCCATGAACTCGACGTCGAAGTAAATTTGGTCATGACATTTAGCCGAACACTTGTCGGGCATGGTTTCCATCATGGACAACACTGTGCAGAGGCGGGCGTTACTTGGGCGGTGGCCAAACCAATGGGGGGGCGTGGGCAAGTTGGGGCTGGCACCCGGGCGGAGCGGCGGAGGTTTGGCAAGGCCTGGGCGGCGGAGTGGGTGTTACGGCGACGGTGGCAGATCGACTACTGGATTCAGAGCAAGGGCGTGGGGTCGGAGAGAGAAGAGCGGGGCTCTAGGCGGGTTTTTGTGTGGGCCAGGTGTGTCAGATGCTTGCGTGGTGGTTGTCCGGAGGTCCGCAAACCTCCTCCTCATGTATGCTTACGGTTTATGGGAATTCGGACGGCCAACCCGATTCACGAGCCGACGAACCCTTTGATGTATGACATCGGATGACACAAAGAATCCGAACCCTAGACGTTTGGCAGCATTTTTGATGATGAAGGGCGTTGGAGACGCCCTAAGCGTCTGCTAGAGTTGGCTGTGCATTTCCTCATGAACTCGTTAGGTGAATGTATTTTGTCGTCCACGAGATAATGATAGGCACGGTGGGTATAAAAGATTTGCTACTAGCGTGTTCAGGAAGTTGCACGGTGGTCGCTTTCCTACATATCTTGCCGGTGTCACTCACGTCTCACTCATGTCACCATCTAACTTTGACCCCTCGGGAAGATCCGTCGGGTCAGTCAGTCCACTGGGATCTGCACTGCACGGACGCTGGGACAAGAGAACGTGAATTTGCCCTTCACCACCGGTGTGCGGATCAGCGAAGCGCGGCGCGCTTGTCCGTACGCATGGGATCGAATCGGATCACAGCGAAGCGCGCCGGCGTCCCGTGCACAGTGGAAAAGGGGTGCCGTGCGCGCAGGCCGCGGAAACGTACGCACGCAAGGACAGCCGTACGTACCAGCCGCCCGCAACGCCCACCAACCTTTCGGGGGCAGGGGCTCGTCGCCACGCTACTTATAGAGGGGCAGGGCACCACTCGGCTCGCTCCTCTGTCCCGCATTCCCAACAACACCTCTCCCTCCGCTTGCTCTGCCCTCTCCATCACCGCCTCCATCTCCGGCGACCGGGGGAAGAAGAAGAAGAAGTAGCAGCCATGTCTCCGCTCGCTGAGCTTCTCAGCCTCGACCTGTCCGGCTGCACCGGCAAGATCATCGCCGAGTACATATGGTAACATCGCTCTGCTCCCTCTTCCTCAGCACTGTCCCAACCTCCCATCTCATCTTCCTTCCAAGTTAGGCAGGCCACAGATTTTTTGTCCTCCCCACAAATCCCATCTGACGTTTCTTTAGTTTAGTTTACTAGTGGGTTTCTCAAATTTGAGCCCGGTAAAAACCCTTCTCGTCTTGTTTTTACTCCTTGATGATCTGTTGCCAATATGGTGTTTTTCTTTTTTCTTTGTTAGACGTTTGGCTCTATGCATCTTAGCTATGCGTTGGCCGGGTGCCGCTCATCATGATATATACCTGCATGATGCTGGTACTTTCTCTGTAAAAAAAATATAAGACGCTCTTATATTTCTCTATGAATGGAGTACATCATAAGTTAATAAAATGGGAAAATCGGCATCGTACTTTTAGGCCTTAATACTGGTCTACTTCTATTTACACCTTGCCTTGCCTAATTCAGGGTCGGCGGCACCGGGATGGACGTCAGGAGCAAAGCCAGGGTAAGCCTAACCCTCGACGACTCATAACTTTGCCGGCCGGCTCCTTTTTGTCCAGCTGTGACGGCACTGCAAATATGTTCCTAATTAACACTTCTTGTGACCCTTTTGATGCCTTGGATATTCACAATCAGACGCTGCCCGGACCCGTCGATGACCCCAGCAAGCTTCCAAAATGGAATTTTGACGGCTCCAGCACCGGCCAAGCCACGGGTGACGACAGCGAGGTCATCCTCTGGTAAGCCCTTGACTGCACCCTTCAGTTAACCCTGCCTTGGCTTGCGTGCCTTGAGGCTGAGCTGATCTGAATTTCATGTGTTGCTTCTCCCAAGCCCTCAGGCCATCTTCAGGGACCCGTTCAGGAAGGGGAACAACATCCTGGTAAGAATGATCAAGATCTTCCCTTTTTTTTTACTCATGGGTTTCGTATCGTTGTTTTGTTTATTTGTGTGAATGAATTTTGAAAATTGTTCATGAATGCTTTTTCACCTGTGGTAAATTGTTTTTAACCTCGTTTAGGTCATCTGTGACTGCTATGCGCCTAACGGAGAGCCGATTCCGAGCAACAAGCGGTACAACGCAGCGAGGATATTCGGCCACCCTGATGTCAAGGATGAAGAACCATGGTCAGTATCAGTTGCTCTGTTCTTTAGAAATTAGTCGACTGATTAATTTTTGCACATAATTTTATTTATGTGGCAATTAATCTTGTGACACCCTCTTATGTTGCCTGAAATGTAAGGTATGGGATTGAGCAGGAGTACACCCTTCTTCAGAAGGACACCAACTGGCCCATTGGCTGGCCACTAGGGGGTTACCCTGGCCCTCAGGTAACTTAACTAGACATGTTCCATACTGCAGCACTCTTATTAAGTCTTAACCAAGATCGCTCCCCTAAACAAGGGAGGAAACTTGGCTGTAAATGCTATTATAGCTTAGCACTTGCTGATAACAGTTCAAAAATGTTGGACCGATAGTGACACTGACAGAGCAAAATGTGTGTGACAGGGACCTTACTACTGCGCCGTGGGTGCAGAGAAATCTTACGGGCGCGACATCGTCGACGCGCACTACAAGGCCTGCCTCTACGCCGGCATCAACATCGGCGGCATCAATGCAGAAGTCATGCCAGGACAGGTAGTTTCAGGCGCAGGAATACCTTCACTTGGATGCCCCTTATTCCTATCAAAATTGTTCATGGACTGATTTCTCTCTGAACCAACCAGTGGGAGTTCCAAGTTGGCCCTTCCGTCGGCATCTCTGCCGGCGACGAGCTCTGGGCGGCTCGCTACATCCTGGAGGTAAATAAAACTACTGCCTCATCTAGTGAAATGAATCAAATGCAACATTTTGTAATAAGAACAATTTTGTTTTGTGTAACCCAACAGAGGATCACTGAGATTGCTGGCGTCGTCGTCTCCTTCGACCCCAAACCGATCCCGGTGAGCATTTCTTCTTCTTCTTCTTCTTGTGCCAAAATTTCAGCTCGATCTGCCGTTTCACTGGCCAGCAGCGATATGTAACTGTGTATATGTGTGTGACTGTAGGGAGAGTGGAATGGTGCTGGTGCCCACACAAACTACAGGTAAGATACAGAGAGGAAGCCAAGGGATGCATCTCCGTCTGCTCTAGTCTTGTGTCATGGGTTATGACATGATCCTGCCGATGTCTGAATGCAGCACCAAGTCGATGAGGAGCGAGGGCGGGTACGAGGTGATCAAGAAGGCGATCCAGAAGCTGGAGGCGCGGCACATGGACCACATCGCCGCCTACGGCGAGGGCAACGAACGCCGGCTCACCGGCCGCCACGAGACCGCCGACATCAACACCTTCGTCTGGGTAAGCACGAAAGCCCCACGGGGAGTCCAGACTTCAGACAGAGTCACCACCATTGCTGCTCTTCTCTTACTGCTTTCCGGCTGCATTGTTTGTTTGTTTTTGCAGGGCGTGGCGAACCGCGGCGCGTCGGTGCGGGTGGGCCGCGACACCGACAAGGAAGGCAAGGGGTACTTCGAGGACCGGAGGCCGGGGTCCAACATGGATCCCTACGTCGTCACCTCCATGATCGCCGACACCACCATCCTCTGGAACGCCGGCCTCTCCAATGGCAGGTAGATGTCATCTTTGATGGGCTCTGTCTTCTGTGTGAGTGCCCGTGGTTGTGTGTGTGTGTGCGCGCGCGCGTGTGAACTGCATTGCAGTGATGAGACCGGCAGGGTTTGAATAATAATGATAAAACAAATAACATCCGATGTGATGTGGTGTATGCTTGTCGTAGCTGGATGTATGTAACTCGTCCTGAACTTGTGTGTGGTTTGCAAATATCTCGTGCTGAGCGTCCATGGGACCTAGGCTTGCCACTTGTTTGTTGTCTGCATCAATCGTTGCCATAGGGTAATCAACAACAAAGAAACAGACCATTGTAGACACAAAAGCTCAAAAAACATTTCAATGTCACATCGGGAAGGAAAAATTGTAGACAGAGAGAAAATCTCAAGGGTTCGTTTGGTTTCCTCCTAAATTCCCGTGGAGTAGCAAATTCCGTTGTTCCTCGGGGAATTTCAGAGAGAAGTAAGATGGTGATTCCGTTGTTCCAAACGGTGCCTAAGGAATATTTCCTATACAAATGATATCCGTCAGAAATTCCTATGTTTTTCCAGTTTTCCTTTGGATGTTCAAGAAAAGATTGGTACGCGAATCCTCGACGAAAAAGAAACACGTCAATATATTGCATGAAGAAACACACTCTTGATTACAATCACTGCGACAAGATTACTGCCATACACTGTACGTCTGTACCAGCAGCAGAGTATGCAGTATAGGCAACGAAACAAGGACGGTCTGGCACATACATTTATTCAGGTGCAAGGGAGATGTAAAAAAAAAAGCTATCGAACAGGAGGCCAGAACTGAACTTCATACGCGGCCTCGGCGCATATCTAGGTCAAAATTTATGTGATCACCGTGGGGGCAGATCGGCCGGTGTACTCCTGGATCTTCGAAAGCTTCAGGGCCACGTCAACCTGGATAAAAGAATAGAATCAGAACTGCATCCTCGCCAAAATGTTTCAGTGATTGTTACAGGCATGAGAGGGTATACAGTACAGGGGAGTTGGATCTTACCAGTGGAGAAAGAGCATCGCTCGACTCCCTCCCGGTTTTGGAAGAATCCTTCTCATACTGCTCAATGTAAATACGGATAGTAGCACCAACTGAACCAGTTCCAGAAAGGCGGAACACCTACAATAGCAAGATTTAGTGTTAGTTCACCTTCACCAGCATTTGTTGCCCCCAAAAGGATCAACTCTGCCAATGTTAAGCATCGACTGGTTACATTGCAAATTTGCAAGGTCAAATTTGAGTATGAAGACTTAGGCTTTATGCTACTTGTGTTGGTTTGGTTAAAGAAACGTGACGGGAAATGTTTGAAGTGTACGGTTCACCAATAAATAACAGCATGAGATTCCGTACCAGTCGGGAACCATCTCCAAAGAGATACCGGATACCCTGATGCTTGGAGACAGAACCATCAACAGGGTCCTTGTACTCAAACTCATCAGCCGAAACCACATCTGCAACAGTAGGCTGGATCTCCTTGATCGACCTGAGGAAAAGATACAACTTAGATGTAGTTTCCAATGCATACACTTTCTCAGTGACATGAAATAAAAAGCTCCAAATACTTCAGTGCTTATGATAGTACACTCTAATTTCACAGCAAATCGGAGAGGCTTAAATATGTGCATGAAATCCATTTGGGTGACAAGAGAGATCTTCATATAGGTGCATTAAGTGCGACAGTAACATACGTACTTGTTAACGTCAGACAGGGACGACTGCATCTTTACTAGGTTAGCCATAAGTTCCTTGGCAGCTTCTGCATCAACATTCTTCGATAACAAATGGTTTTGTTAGCATGTTATCAAATGTGCAGTATATACACAAGTGTCAGTTGAATGAAGTACCTCATAGTCATATCGTGTATAATAATGGCGACCATAAGTAGCCCAGTGCTGAAGAACAATGTCTTCAACCGTAACAAGCTTATCTCCTCCAAGGTTGTCCTTGTTCTTGTAAGCTAGAATAGATAGCCAAGCTAGAACAGCCCAAATACCATCCTTTTCACGGATGTGGTCAGAACCTAGAATAAGTAGAGGATATCAGCAACCCCATGACCATATCGTGTCCAGTTAACGCTATGAATATCAACATGTCTTTCAGCTTCATGTTGATCCTTCATGGAAATCCAAATAATAATAGTTCATTTTTTTCAGAACATCATGTCACCTGTCCTGTTCCTTTTTACAAAAGGAAAAACAAATTTGCTGAATATCCAAGAGAGGTGCTACATGCCAGAATGCATGGCATTTTACCATAAGGCAAGACCAATTTGTTCAATTAATTCACATGCATGTTATTGTGATCAAGATAGTCCCCAAGCATTACCCGTGCCAAAGCTTTCTTCACCACAAACTGAGCACATTCCAGCATCCATCAGGTTTCCAAAAAATTTCCACCCAGTAGGCACCTGAAAAACATGGTCTTCGTCATATATCTGTCCTATATTTGAAGTATAGCGATTGATGATCATAACACACTACCTCAAAGAACTTGAGATTTAGATTCTTTGCAACTACATCAAGTGCAGCTGATGTTGGCATGCTCCTGCAAATTCACCAATGGATCAGGAAAAAGTGAAGCACTGAAGCACAACAAAATATTAAAACATGGGTAGGATGGCGATTGTAATCTTGGGCATATAGTACATGATTCAACAACATGGATGCAAATCATAAGATGGTACTCCCTCCGTAAAGAAATATAAGAGCATTTAGATTACTAAAGTAGTGATCTAAATGCTCTTATATTTGTTTACAGAGGTATTATTTAACTTAACTAAATACCCCAGTACAAATAAATTTCAAACTGTACCAGTCAGACAAACATAGCTAACAGTTTAAGTGAGTACTGAGTAGTAAGCCAGCTCTTCAGTCAAGTCTAATTAAAATTTTACTTTTCATCTCTATTTCCCTAGCTAGTTATTTCTTCAATCTTATGTATCCAGTGTTTTCCTCAAATGGTGTCAAGTCTAGCTAAACGGTGTCAAGTCTAGGAAAGCAACATAGCTCCAGAACTGCCCATTGTAGATTCTGGACTACCCATGGGCAAATAATATCTGTTAACTGATGGTACGACGAGTTACCATCAGAAATGGAGAGCTACCACAGTATCCTGCCTAGTCCCTGAATGCTTATTTGGATGGACAACTCTATAGGAGAACATGTGTGCTTACTGCAGACATCAGTGCTATTTGCAACTTAAAGCCTTGATTTGACTTGGTGTAAGTAGTAACCAGAAAGAAAAGAGCATATGGTAGAACCTCAATTTGCAGGAGATCATTTTACCTGGCAACTCCCTTCAGGCCAGAAGCGAAGTAAGGAATTGATTGGACAGCATTGGCTGCGATAATGGCAACCGAATCTGATGGTGTCACAAAGAATCTAGAATAGGACAGAAGAATTATTATGAACACCTTCAAGTGCTTTTGTAGATTTCCTAAATGTAGTCAAAACATTACCGTTTACCCAGAACCATGTTACGGTCAGCATCTCCATCAGCTGCCGCACCAAATTCAGGGGGGTCAGCGTTTGAGGTTTTCCCAAGACCCATCCGCTCAACCAGTTCTTTTGCATAGGTGAGGTTAGGGTCAGGATGACCACCTCCAAAGTCTTCCTGTAAGAACACAAATGACAAATTAACACCAACCCAAACTCCATGTTCAACTTGTGATGATGGAAGAAAGTGTTACCTTTGGAACACAGTTCAACAGTGAGCTTTCACTGGCGCCGAGCTCATCCACAAACATGCGCTTTGCATAAGCTCCAGCAACACCGTGAAGGCCATCAAAACTAAAATTGCAAACCGAGGGTTCAGATATGCTATTTGCTGTTAATAGGAGGATGATAACAAAATTTAGGCTAAAGATAAGTACCAGAACGAGAACTTTGGAGATGCCAGAAGCTTTTTAATAGACTCAAAGTCAAAGATTGTCCTGGAATTGAATGCACACTGTTAATGAAATCACTAATCATCATGTTTTTATTCTTGTGTTATGAGATTATAGTGTTTCCCCTTCATAAATGCAAAAAAAAAAAATCACTTTCAGTCAAAGAAACCAGCAAATGATACTTGAAACATAATATTTGATGTATTGAAACAGAAGCTACATACTTCATTAGCTTGATGTAATCTGTAGCAGAGTCAAAGACATCGACATCAAAAGGTCCTTCAGGTCCAGTGAAGGAAGTGACACCTGTCACAGAAATATCAACCTACAATGTGGGAACACAGAAGAGTAAATGGGGATTCCACTACCTTGGGGTCAAAAGGAACAGAAAGAGAACAAAAATACAAGCAGGCACCAAATCGTACATTTGGAAGGTCCTCCGCAATGAGGTATTCAGTAATTGTCTTTGTATTAGAGAAGATCTTATCGGTAACAGACTCAGGGGCGGGTCCACCATTCCCCATGTTGTATTTGATTCCAAAGTCCTGGAAAATCCAATAAAAGGTGTTGATTTACAAAGAACACCAACGGCCTTGATTTGCCAGAGATGGTAACAGTGAACATCCTAACTTCCAAAGCATGTTACCTCAGTTGGACCACCTGGGTTGTGGCTGGCTGTTAAAATGAAGGCACCAGTAGCCTTTGCGCCCTGTTATTCATTGTGTCAATAGATCAATATACAGATACTTTGTTGCAACAGAAAAAGAGGCAAACAATAAAATAATTATATCATATTTGTTCATCTAAACATTTCATTTAGTGATAATGCCTCATCTGCCATCTGCCACCATTACCTGACAGCTGGCATCAATAGGATTAGTTGGTAACTCGTGAACAGTTTAATACAATGTGCGGGTTAAGAGGTTTGAACTCAGACATCCTTGCTAGTGGGCATTGTATCGTGTCACAACCAAACTACATACTATATGTCATGTTTATACATACATGATCCACTTATGTAAAACTACTTCCATGGTTCAGCTACAACAATGGTTTATATGGGATATGCTGCAATGCATACACACTTGCCAAATTGGAAGAAACAAGA